GGGTCTGCTTCCCCCTTTTCCACAGGAGTTTCAAAAGACTCACGGTTTTTTCTGCTTTCTTCCACATCACGGATAAGCTGCAAGGCTTGATCTATCATGAGACGTTCCTTCTGCTGTTGCATCCACACTGCCTCCCTTTCCGGGGTCTGGAAGTCGTCACTCCCCGGGGATTCTCTCCCCAGTCCGGCAGTCTGCCCACACCTTTGGACCATCTAGCTTCCTCCGGTTCCAAACGGAGTTTTTCCAGCCATTCTGCACTTTCTCTTTCCGACTGGAGGGCGGTTGAACTCGCTGCCCCCATCTTCCCTTCGTCATCACTCCCACGATCTGGCATACTTTGGATTTTCAGTCCCCTCGGTTTTTGTCCGGGATGACTGAGATGACTTCCAGCTTAATGTCAGGTATGCTTCCTTCAGTATCCAGGAAAGAAAACCCCAAACTCAAGCATTTTGAAGAATCTGGTACTTTTACTGAATATGAAAAGATTAACATCCCAGTGAAAAGCTGGAAGTGATCAAAATGCGCAAAATGCATCTACTAAGCTTCTTCCCCCCTCTTGTTTATAGTTTCTCAGCCAATCTAAAGGTCTTCCAAAGGTCAGGTGGCAACACGTCTGGCAGCGTCATCCATCAGGAATGTCAGGACAGTTGGTCGGCCATCCCCTTCTGAAATGTAGTTTCGATTTCCCCGAAGTACCCTCCTACAAAGACAAACCCCCTCCTGCTCTCTTCCCCCCCTCTGCTCCATACCTAATCCCTCCCCGTTTCTTATGGCAGCTAAAGCAGGAAAGCTGATGCTGACACAATCAGAAAGCTCGATTCAAAATTTCTGGCGCGAAAAACATTACCAGACAACGAAAACAAAAAAGAAAATTCAAACACCTCAGAAGAATCAGAATCGGAAAGTGAAAGTGATTCAACAGATAATCAGATAAAATCAGCAATGAAAACGCTTTTTGCTGCATTTGGGCCAAAACTAAAAATTACCAAAAAGCTAACTAAGAAGCAAGCGAGCAAGCCAATGCCTCAAAATCTACCCGCTCCCATCCTGAATACGAGAGCGACGACGCCCGAACCCAGAGAGCCCTGCCGATACCGCCCCATGCCACAGACCGATGCAAGCACCAATGCTCTCAAAAGAAGAAAAAGGACAGCCGACATCGTCAGGACTCACAAGATCGAGCCGGAGACCGATTCGTCTGAGGAAGAGCAGAACGAGCGAGCCGCAACGACGAGAACCTCTCACGACGACTCCAGGGACGAAATGGACAACGCGCATGCGCGAGACTACGCAAACGGCCCAGGAAGACATGAATTGCTGAGAAGACCGTGCAGGCTCGTTGCGAGCATCCCCACGCCGTTTTGTAACTTTCTGCATTTACGAGACCACGGACTACCTCAGGTTGTAAGTAATGGACCTAATAATGTCGGAAATTTGCCCAGTGACTTCCCAAAGCTGAGGATAGATGGCATTAATTTACAAGAATGGTATCAGCAGCTCCAGGTTGTCTTTATGAAAGAAAACTTACTGTTTTTTATCACTAGTCCCCCAAAAAGACCTTGGACTCTAAAATTAGACTGTTTACACCATAGAGCATTTTTCTTATTAATTTCTAGTGTATCTCCTGCTATATACCACAGCATTAAGCAAAATCTGACTGTTTCAGAAATTATTCAATGCATGTTCAATCTATTTCACAGTGACAGTGTAGCTACTACCACAAGGATGTCTAAAGATTTCTTTTCATCTAGGATAAAGCCAGGGGTTTCCATAAGTGAGCACTTAATATCTTTAAACAAAATAAGAGCTGAACTGCATTTAAGGGGGGAGGTGATTTCAGATCAAACAATGAAAAGTGTTATCATCAACTCACTTGACCCATCATGGGATAATTATATGTCACATTTAGACACAATCAATCTAGGATACTTATCCATAGAAAGTCTATCCAATAAGTTAATAGCTGAAGACAATTCAAGGAGGAGTCGTTCTAACAATCACATAGAACACAAACCATATAGAAAAGTAGCTTTTCAAGAAAAATATAATGAAACATTTAGATACCACAACTGTGGATCTAGGGAACACAATAGAAGAGATTGCCCCAAAATTTCAAAAGAAAGACATAGGTCAGAATACAGAAACAAATACAATTACAGACAGTCTTCCATTGATAGACATAGATATAGAAGCCCGCCAAATTACAAAGAGAATAGAGGGGGCAGAGATAATTCAAAGGATAGAAAATCTGGTTCACTGAATGGATTAAATAAACAAGACAACACTAACATACAGCAATCTGAGAACAATAATTGGCTTATTGATTCTGGAGCAACTAATCACACCACCAATAACAAAAATATACTATCTTCATTTGTAGAAGATAAATTTGTAATAAAGGTAGCTAACCAAGAAAAAGTTCAAGTATTAGGTAGAGGGAATATAACCTTACCTGGCCTAGGAAAAATAGAGGGGGTATTACTAATACCCGAAATATCTCATAACATACTAAGTGCCATAAAACTAAGCAGGGATTCTGATATTAACATTGTCTTTTCTAAAGGAAAAGCGACCTTGGAGAAAAATAAAACAGATATAGGTACCGTGATGATTAAAGGGGGTCTACCTTATTTAATAACAAAAGAAAAATGGTTACATAACATTGATTCAAATATGGAAGATTGTATTGAAGTAGATGATGAAAACATTAGCAATAGTGACAATGATGAATGTAAAATAGCTCATGATCACAAAGAGGCACATAATGAAAAAAAACCAAAAATAGGTAAGCCAATTCATGATGAGTGTGCTCATATTTTACATAGGAAGTTAGGACATGCCAGTTTTCCTGTAGTACAAAAAATGACTGAACACGCAGAAGGTGTTAAAATAAAAAATTGTGAAAACTATTTGGAATGCTCAGTATGCAAATCTACAAAACTAAAAACTAGCCCCAGACCAAGGAAATCAATTAGGTCAACCAACAAAATTTTTGATTTAGTACACATGGACTTAGTTGGTCCACTAACTCCATCAATCACTTATAGAAAACGTTACTTCTTGACCATAGTGGACGATTACAGTCGCTATGGGTTTGTTATACATTAAAACACAAAGATGAGACTTTTCAGAAATTTAAAGAATTTTATAAGCGCGTAGAAACACAACACAATACCAAAATAAAACAAATCATGACAGATAGGGGATGTGAATTCATGTCTAAAGAATTCTCCCAATGGCTGAAGGACAAAGGAATGTTACATTACACATCTAGCCCATTTTCTGCGTTTCAGAACGGAATTGTAGAGAGGAAGAACTCAACGTTACAAACCATGATTAGATGCACATTGGAAGATGCTGGCTTAAGCAAACAATTCTGGTCAGAAGCCCTACATTATTCCAATTACACACAGAATAGAACCTGGTCCAGCATTGTAAATAAGACACCATATGAAGTGATGTATAATAGGAAACCAAAATTAGCACACATGCACATATTTGGAGTCACTGCAGACGTACACATACCTAAACAATTAAGAAGAAAGGGAGAAAATGTGTCCAGAAGGCTCAGATTTATGGGATATGAGACAGGCACTAAAGGATACAGATTCATTGATAATAATAACAAATTTATAGTTTCCAGAACAGCTGTGTTCCATGAGCAGGCCAACTGGTCTAAAATACATCTTAATGAAATATTTCCAAGTAACAACAAAGATACAAAATCCCAAGAAAAAGGGATTATAGAAAAGCAAAATGACAACAAACATAGAAACAAAACCAAAACATGGACAAATAGCCAACACAAAATAAAGACAGACACACTAACAAAAAAGGAAGCAAGATATTTGCATGATAATAATAGTAAACCTGAAAAAACAATTAGAAGCACCAGAAATCAAATGCCAAATAAATACAAGGATTACATAATGCATATGGATGGTGAATCAACGACACCTAATACATATGAGGAAGTGTTAAAACTTCCTCGTAAAGAAAAAGAAAAATGGGAATTAGCAATGAAAAAAGAGATGGAAAGTTTACAAGGATTAAATGTATTTACACCTGCAATTGCTCCAAAAGACAAAACAATTATTGGTACTAGGTGGATATATAAAATTAAAAACTTAGAGGGAGGCAATACATTATACAAAGCTAGACTAGTTGCACAAGGTTATGCACAGAAATATCCGGAGGACTATACTGACACATATTCCCCCACAGTAAGAACTGAGAGTGTCAAAACAGCTCTAGTAGTAGCATCAGCACTCAATCTCGATGTATTCCAATATGACATACAGACTGCGTATCTACACGCAAAACTAGATAAGGAAATATATGTAAGAGCACCTCACAGTCAATACACAAACAAGAATGAGACTTGGTTGTTAAACAAGAGTTTATATGGGTTAAAACAATCTGGTAAACAATGGTATGATTGTTTAGTAAAAGTACTTAAAACTATGGATTTCAATGCTACTACTGCTGATAACTGTTTCTTTGTTAAAAAAGGTGATAATTATATAGAATTTGGATTGATCTATGTGGATGACATTTTATACATAGGTAAACATAAAGAGAGAAGAGAAACATTTGTAACTAAGCTAAATGAACATTTCTCATTGAAATCTTTAGGCAAAGTAAATAAGTATCTTGGTGTTCAAATTAATAAGACAAAAAGAGGATTCAAACTTACTCAGAGAGATAAGATCATAGAGCTCTTAAACAAATGTAATCTAAGTGATGCCAAACCTTGTGACACTCCTATGCAAACTGACTTCCTAAGAAATGCTGATGAATCATCCCCTGAATTCAAAGATAACACGTTTTATAGATCAGTCATAGGTTCACTTCTTTATATTTCCAACTGGACAAGACCTGATATCGCTTTACCTCTCAATTTATTATCCAGACATGTCAGCAAACCAACAATGTACCATTGGGAAGCTGTTAAAAGGATATTAAGATATTTGAAAAATACATTAGACTTTTGTTTGATGTTAGAACCTAATAATGTTAAGGAACCAAACCTCACATGTTACGCAGATGCGGATTGGGCTGGAGACACCTCATGTAGAAAAAGTACATCCGGTTATGTATTCCTCCTAAATGATTGTCCAGTTTACTGGTACACTGGCAAACAAGAATTAGTGGCCACTTCAACAACAGAGGCAGAATATGTTTGTTTATCTAAAGCTGCAAATAACCTTGTATGGTTTAATGATTTAATTTCAGATGTTTGGAAAAAACCTGCTTTACCTTTTGTTATGCATGAAGACAATAAAGCAGCTATTGAAATATCTAGATCTGACGCCATTGGACAAAGGTCCAGACATATAGATATAAAATTTAAACATGTGAGACAATTATCTCAAGATGGATTTATCAGAGCAGTGCATTGTGAAACATCAGAACAATTAGCTGACATACTGACAAAGCCTCTACCTTCTAAGCAGCATAAATATTTGACTTCCAAGTTATATGTCCTGTATTGTCCTGAATCTGAATGTAATTGGTGTAGCTTAGCGAATCGGCATTTAGAGGGGGATTTGTCACATGTAAATGCCTTATTCTCTAATGTGTAAATAGTATATGAACGGGGTATCAGGGGTTAATTTATTCTTCACTTCTTAATGTATTCATAATTCACCACTCCCATACTTAGCTCCACCCATTGTATATATAAGGAGCTGTATACACCCTTTTCCTTGCTTCTATCTGTGAATATTCAGTGAATATAGAATGCCTTGTGTAAATAAAGAGAGATATATTTGAACTCTTAACTCTTACTAAATTTATTGAGTCTGATCCTGAAAATATTGCAACAGTTCGGGATCAAGAAGAACAGAGTGCAGGTCTGACAATATAACAGTCCCCTTCAAGAACAGAAAAGAAAGGAAAATCTAACTTCCATGCAAGATGGGAGTATGGACAAAAAAGAGCAGACTTTTACTCTTGAAATTGTTCATCTTTATGAATTTATACCTATTCAAAGAAAATTGTATTTTCTGTTATCCTTGCAAATATTGTTTTCCACAATTTCACTACAATTCATAAGCAGATACATCTCTGCAACTTCCATGTTGTTCTCCTACACCCATGATGGCGAAGCTATGGCACGCATGCCACAGGTGGCACGCGGAGCCATATCTCTGGGCACGCGAGCATTGCCCTAGCTCATCTCCAGCGTGCATGCGCGCGCTGGCCAGCTGATTTTCAGGCTTTCCGGGCACACCAGAGGTCAGGAAACGGGCCATTTCCGGTCTCCCCAGGCTCCTAGAAACCCTCTGGACCATGGGGAGGGACAAAAATGGGCCTACCTGGCCCATCATGCCATCACGTGTAAAAATTGAGGGGAGCGCAGAGGAGGGGTCGCGCGCGCATGCACGGGGGAATGGGGCACATTGAATTATAGGTGTGGGCACGCACATGCGAGACCCCCCATGCTCCTCCCACTTTTGGCACGCAATGGCAAAAAGGTTAGCCATCACTGTCCTACACCCATGGTACAATTCTGACTTGAAGCCTGAACAATTTTTTCTACCTTTGGAATGTGGAAACCTGCCATATTCACATCTCTTATGCTTTCTCTAGGAATTACTATTAATGTAATATATTTTGCTTGTTGAGTCTCATGAATCACAGCATTGGTGTAGGGCAGCTTGTGCCGATCTTGATAAGAGATGGATCCTGAGGCACCAAAGATCTCTTCAATCTCCTTGTGGACTTTTTCTGTAGAAAGAGAAAGGCAATACATTTTCAATGATGATTTTCCTGACTGAATAATCTCTTACAATTATTTATTTTTGTTAAATTATTTTCTATGAGCTTCCTTACGAATAAAATACCTCAGGGGCAGAGTAGGCTTAGGACTACTATAATAATGCCCCCTCTCATCATTTTCACAATTAAGTGAATAAGTAAAAGCTAAATCTTATTCAATGTACTGAAAATTAAGTCAATCCCTTTTCCATTATTCCATATTACTATATAAAATTATTAATATAGAATTACTAATGTGATATTTGAGACTATCAAAAAAAAAATCTTTATATTTACATAATCAGGTTTCTTTTAAATTGCAAAAGAAGTAATCTTCGCTATAGGTTCCAGAATCTTCATAGAATACTATTATGAAGATTATATTCATCATTCAATAGTGATTAAGATGTCAAAAGAATTCAAGTATATTTTCCCAATTGAGATTGGCCCTTGTTCCCACTGCCCAGATTTGTCTCACCTTGGATGTCGGGATGATTTGCCAAGAGAAGCACTGCCCACATCAAGGTAGAAAATGTTGTGTCTGTTCCAGCGACAAATAATTCAGCCAAACAACAAGCCAGATTCTCCTCATTATAGACAGAGTTGGGGTCATTCCTGTTCTATGTTTAAAATGAGAAATTCAATTTGCAATATATTCTAGGTTTCTTTCAAATATTTTCTTATTAGCCACAAATCACATTCATAATGATATATGTTCAAAGGATATGTGCACAATCCTTTGTGCATAATTTTTATTTTTATTTTATTTTTATTTATTTTTATATGCCGCCCTTCTCCGGAGACTCAGGGCAGCTTACAATGCATTAAGCAATAGCCTTCATACTTTTGTATATTTTATACAAAGTCAGCTTATTGCCCCCACAAACCGGGTCCTCATTTTACCCACCTTAGAAAGGATGGAAGGCTGAGTCGACCTTGAGCCTGGTGAGAATTGCACTCGCAGTAATTGCAGGCAGCTGGATGTTAAATGCTGCCTTAGTAGGAGGCATTAGCCTCCTATGCCACTCAGGCTCTTGATTGTTGTTGTTGTTGTTAGTTGCGAAGTCGTGTCTGACCCCATGGACAATGTTCCTCTAGGCCTTCCTGTCCTCTACCATCCTCTGGAGTCCATTTAAGCTCACATCAACTGCTTCAGTGACTCCATCCAGCCACCTCGTTCTCTGCCGTACCCTTCTTCTTTTGCCCTCCATCTTTCCCAGCATTAGGCTCTTCTCCAGTGAACATGCTCTTATTGCGTCATCAGATAATCGCCCGGCCGCCCTGTTTAGGGTGACCCGCTCCCTGCTCCACCAGGAAGCACGGGAGGACCCCTTGGAGGGAAGAGCCGAGGATTTTGCTCAGTATCTGTATGACAAAATCACTCAGATTCGGGCAGGTCTGGACTCTGACGCGATAGATCCAGAGAGGGTGATGGAGACAGGTTTTGAGACTGTTATCTGGGATGAGTTTGATCCTGTGACCCCAGATGACGTGGACAGGATTCTGGGTAGATTGAACGCGACCACATGTTTGTTGGACCCGTGTCCCTCCTGGTTAGTGCTGGCTTCCCGGGAGGTGACGCGAGGCTGGCTCCAGGGGATTATAAATGCTTCGTTGGGTGAGGGTGTCTTCCCCGCCGCCCTGAAAGAGGCGGTGGTAAGGCCTCTCCTCAAGAAGCCTTCCCTGGACCCGGCAGTATTGGCTAACTATCGTCCAGTCTCCAACCTTTGCTTCGTTGCGAAGGTTGTTGAGAGTGTGGTTGCGCGACAGCTACCCCAGTACCTGGATGAAGCGTCGTATCTAGATCCGTTCCAGTCGGGCTTCAGACCTGGGTACAGCATGGAAACGGCATTGGTCGCGTTGGTTGATGATCTCTGGAGGGCTCGGGACAGGGTTGTTGTTCCTCTGTCCTGGTCCTGTTAGACCTCTCAGCGGCTTTTGATACCATCGACCATGGTATCATGCCTTAAAATTCCCATCCTTGTCTAAAAAGTGATTTGGGTTGAATTCTTTAGGTGTCTCCCATTGTTTGGGATCAAGAAGAGAGCGCAGGTCTGACAATATAACAGTCCCCTTCAAGAACAGAAAAGAAAGGAAAATCTAACTTGCATGCATGCTACAGAGTATGGACAAAAAAGAGCAGACTTTTACTCTTGAAATTGTTCATCTTTATGAATTTATACCTATTCAAAGAAAATGGTATTTTCTGTTTTCCTTGCAAATATTGTTTTCCACAACTTCACTACAATTCATAAGCAGATACATCTCTGCAACTTCCATGTTGTTCTCCTACACCCATGATGGTGAACCTATGGCACGCGCGCCACAGGTGGCACACGGAGCCATATCTGTGGGCACGCGAGCATTGTCCTAACTCAGCTCCAGCGTGCATGCGCGCGCTGGCCAGCTGATTTTCAGGCTTTCCGGGCACACCAGAAGTCAGGAAACCGGTCCCCCCAGGCTCCTAGAAAGCCTCTGGACTATGGGGAAGGACAAAAATGGGCCTACCTGGCCCATCATGCCATCACGTGTAAAAATTGAGGGGAGCGCAGAGGAGGGGTCGCGCGCGCATGCACGGGGGGAATGGGGCACATTGAATTATAGGTGTGGGCACGCACATGCGAGACCCCCCCCATGCTCCTCCCACTTTTGGCACGCAATGGCAAAAAGGTTAGCCATCACTGTCCTACACCCATGGTACAATTCTGACTTGAAGCCTGAACAATTTTTTCTACCTTTGGAATGTGGAAACCTGCCATATTCACATCTCTTATGCTTTCTCTAGGAATTACTATTAATGTAATATATTTTGCTTGTTGAGTCTCATGAATCACAGCATTGGTGTAGGGCAGCTTGTGCCGATCTTGATAAGAGATGGATCCTGAGGCACCAAAGATCTCTTCAATCTCCTTGTGGACTTTTTCTGTAGAAAGAGAAAGGCAATACATTTTCAATGATGATTTTCCTGACTGAATAATCTCTTACAATTATTTATTTTTGTTAAATTATTTTCTATGAGCTTCCTTACGAATAAAATACCTCAGGGGGCAGAGTAGGCTTAGGACTACTATAATAATGCCCCCTCTCATCATTTTCACAATTAAGTGAATAAGTAAAAGCTAAATCTTATTCAATGTACTGAAAATTAAGTCAATCCCCTTTTCCATTATTCCATATTACTATATAAAATTATTAATATAGAATTACTAATGTGATATTTGAGACTATCAAAAAAAAAATCTTTATATTTACATAATCAGGTTTCTTTTAAATTGCAAAAGAAGTAATCTTCGCTATAGGTTCCAGAATCTTCATAGAATACTATTATGAAGATTATATTCATCATTCAATAGTGATTAAGATGTCAAAAGAATTCAAGTATATTTTCCCAATTGAGATTGGCCCTTGTTCCCTTGTCTAACAAGGTAAATAAAATAATTCTCAGAGTCCTAGATAAAATAACTCTCAGAGTCTCTGAGTTTGGTTATGTGCTTGCAGATGTTTTATTATCTAACTAGATAATATCATCAGTGCTAGTGAGTGTCAATAAACTGATTTATACTTTCATGTCATTATGTTCTGCTCTCCAAGATAAACATACTCTTTAAAAATTCTCTTTCAAACAGCAGTGCACAGGAACCAGATTCTGTTTTTGTGACAGGTACCAGATATTTTTTTCATATTAAACTATTGGCTTGTAAGATGGGTCTTCTTCTCCCTATATCTGTGAGGATACTTTTTTTTTTAAAAAAAAATTGATTTATATGCCGTCCTTCTCCGGAGACTCAGGGCGGCTTACAATGCGTTAAGCAATAGCCTTCATACTTTTGTATATATTTATACAAAGTCAGCTTATTGTCCCCACAAACTGGGTCCTCATTTAACCTACCTTAGAAAGGATGGAAGGCTGAGTCAACCTTGAGCCTGGTGAGATTCGAACTTACAGTAATTGCAGACAGCTGGTATTAATCACAATGCTATTAGTCTGCTGAGCCACCAGGCCATACTAAGGGATGGCCAATGGTGCACTGCTCAATGCAGTCACAAGTTACTTGCTACAAGCTACAATGCAGTCACAAGTTACTTGCTACAAGCTTTCACTTCACCATTTTTTCTCACAGAAACTTCTCATGGACTGAAGTGAAAGAACAATGCTAGAGAACACATCAGAGTGTTCTCTGGTAATATCTGACTGCTACTATCTATTGATGATTTGTAACAATGATGGCATTAGTTTTCATCCAACCCTTCAACCTTTCAACCCTAAAGTTTGTGAGACTTTATTGCAGGGCTGTTAAACTCGCGGCCCGCGAGCCGGATGCATCACACGTTGGCCACGCCCATGTCCGGTTTAGCAAAGGGGGGAAAAGTCACGATATTGCACATGATGCCACCGTGACGCCGCGAGTTTGACACCCCTGCTTTATTGCTATGTCATAAAACTTTGATCATAGCTGTAAATTTAGTCATTTAGCCAGATAGTACTTAAGACTTAAAAGAAGACAAAGAGTGCATACACTGTATTGTATAATCTGTTAAAATGAGAAAAGGCAAAGACAGTGTCTTAAAAGATAGCTGTAACAATCAAGGATTTGTCGACTTCCGGTTGGCTCCACGAGCTTCGCTGACGCTCCTTCGTGAGCGCCCAATCCCAGGCACCATAAATGCCGCCAGAACAGCTGAAAAACAGCTGTCTGGCGGCAAAAAACCCTCTCCCCGGGCAAAGGGGAGAGAGAAGAGCCGACAGGCAGAGGTAGAGCCCCCCAAGTGCGCTAGGAGAAATCCTGGGGCGCAAAGGGTGTGGGCTCCCCATTGAAGCCTGTCAAGCTGCTCCGGACCAGGGATGACTCCGCTAAAGCGGAGCTAGAAACCGCGACCAAAATCTGCTGAAAATAAATGGGGGGACTTTTAACATCTTTACTCTGATTGCAGACAGAGCAAATCAGGAGAAAAAAGGAAAAAATTGCAAGTAACACTTTAACTCCATTTTAAAATGCAGAAAATGGTGCCTGAGAGCGGGAAGAGGAGGCTACTAGGGAAAGTGCTTGTTAACACTTGTTAACGTTTGCAACAGTGATAGAGCTACCGGATTACACTTTAAGAGAAAGTTTTAAAGTGGAAGCGGCCAGGAAAAGAATTTGGTTCCGAGGAAAAGAATTTGGTATTGACTTTAATTAAAATTTTGCTTTTATACTGTGTGGAAAATAGTTGGAATTGTCGTCCTGATAGCTGGATGAATACAAAGTGGCTGAAATATGGCTGACATCAGGGCTGGTGAATCAGCAAATTCTCAAGCTGTGACTGTTCAGGTTTTTCAAGAACTTCTAGACTCTTTTAATTCTGCTCTTTTGGATACAATTGAGAGAGCTTTTTCAAAAAATAGCTTGGAAAATCATAAGCAGTTGTTGGAGGGATCAGCAAAATCTCAAGCTGTGACTGTTCAGGTTTTTCAAGAACTTCTAGACTCTTTTAATTCTGCTCTTTTGGATACAATTGAAAGAGCTTTTTCAAAAAAACAGCTTGGGAAAACATAAGCAGTTGTTGGAGGGGCAGCAGGAAATTATTCAGAGGAGTTTGTTTTTGGAAGATTGAGAGGCTGTCAGGATTGAAAGGCAGGCTGGCACAATTGAAACAAAAGTTTTGGCGGACGTTTCCATTCAATTTATAGAAAAGCAACAAACAGACTTTTTATTGCAAGCTGACAATCTTTATGGCATCAAATCTTGGTTATATGGACAAAGGAATGGACTGAATGATTATACAAGCAAGAAGAGTCGAAATGGGGATTTCAAATTAGAAAACGTGACCTCAAGAAGAGAGCGAATTTTTCAGAAACATCAACCTCAAATCAACATTTTAAAATTTCCAAAAATAAAATTGGGGGGACTGCTGAAAGAATTTATTAAAAAAAAGGATTGGAAAAAATATAGAAAGAAGAGAAGAACAGAAGATTAAGAAAGATATCTTCCTGTAGATTTTGAAATTTGCATTTGGCAAATATGTGTCTTAATGGTATTAAGAGATTTTTAAAATGTTTAACATAAGATTATATTATTTTAAAAGATATATGAGATGAATTGTGTAAGCTTTCAAGATGCCCAACTTTTTGAAGCAAAGAGGATTAATGTTAAATTCAGAATTCTATTACAAAATCATAATTAGTTTTGGATAGTAAAAGGGCTGCTTTCTAAAAAGTTAGAGGTATTAAAATGGTTAATTGAAAATTTGAAAGATATTCTTCTGTAGATTTTGAAATTTATATTTGGTAAATAAGTGTTTTAATGGTATTAAGAGATTTTTAGAATGTTTAACATAAGATTATATTATTTTAAAAGATATATGAGATAAAATGTGTAAGATTTCAAGATGCCCAATTTTTTGGGAAGGAAAGAGGATTAATGTTAAATTCAGAATTTCATTAGGGAGTAATGTTCAAAAAGAATGATGTTCGAGGATATGGAAATGGAATTTATTCATGATTTTTACTGTTTGTAATACTGCTAAAGTATTGGATTATACATCAAGAAAAAGTTTTTTATAATTAGGAAGAATGAATTTAACTTAATTGGTTTTGAGAATTTATAAAAGGGAGGTTGATGAATTAGAGCAAGGGGAGTTAAAGAACGTGTGGGAGTTCTGAACTTTATAATTAGTTAGTTTATTTTAGCATATGTTTGTTAGATGCTATACCCTGTTTTTGCTCTGGGAAATCAGGGGGTGGGGTGGGGAGGATGGGATAAGGGTTGGGGTGGGAAAAAAGTGGTGAATAGAGAAATGTTTTAACAGAAGAAAGTATCTACGATTAGAATACAGGAGTTGCTCAGATACTAAAGGAGGAGAATATTTCACAGCAAAGAAGTTAGAAAGGAAAGAGGAGGAGAGGGTAGGAAGAGGAGAGGGAGGGAGAGGAATGGAAGAAAGGAAGGGAAGGGGACAGGAGTAGGAGTGAAGGTGAGAAGGGGGAAAAGAAGAGAGAAGTGGGGGCAAGGAAAAGGAAGTAGGATGAGGTAGGAGAGGAGGTAGGGGAAAGTAGGAGAGAAGAGGAGGGAGGGGAGGGAAAGAAAGGAGGAGGAGAAGGTTCGTTGTGGAATGAGGGAAGAAAGAGAAGAAGAGCAACTCCGAATGTAATTAAAATGTCTTATTTTAATGCTTTCTTTAAGGGAAACATGTATATGTAGGATTTATTATGTATAAGATGTGGGGAGGGGGAAAGGGTGGGGGGAGAAAATTGTTTGTATTTCTTATAAAACTTTTCAATAATAATAATAATAATAAAACCAATCAAGGATTTGTCATCTCTGCTACAATCCAGAGAACCAGTTCAGATCAAGCCTAAAAGTGCAGAGCAAGGAGCAAGAGCTAGACGAGGAATGCACCGTAGCAGTTAAAAGATTGTTGGAGGGTGTCCAAATATGCTGATAGTCCTCAGTTAACAATGATAATTGGGATCAAAATTTCCATTGCTAAGTGAAGTAGCCCTAAGGTGTGATGACATGTAAATGTTCTGTTTAGTGATGGCAATTCTGATACTTCTGGTTGCAGTCAGAAGTGAATCCATTGTGCCATTAAATACTATGTTGTGTGGTCCCCATTTGCAACTTCCTGCTAGCTTCCCAATTGCTTTTTGGAAACTGGCAGTGAAGGTTGCATGTGACCATGGGAATCCTGCGACAGCTGGAACTTGATGACCAGTGATCGGCATCACTTGTTTATTAGAGTCATCGTAACTTTTAGCAGTCACTGAACTAGTGGTAGGAATGATCCTTTCCCCTCAAAAAGCCACATGTCAGGTTTCGGTGCTATCTTGAATAAACTTCATTCTCAAACGCAAACTCTAATGAATCACTTTTATTTTAAGAATAGCCGAGTCCGACATTCCTGATTTCATTTTGCAGCCAAACTGGCCCCTCCTTCCAACCCCCTCCTCTTCCGCTCTCCAACCCCAATGTCCGATTGGCTATCATGCAGATCCATCTCTACCTCCCGGCACGTTCTTTTCACAGGAATGTAGCCCCCATCCTCGTCTCCCAGGAAACATTATCTGTGCATACAAAACTAGGTAAAAGTTCATCTTGTTATGTCAGCGCTGGAAGAGAGCCTAATTTGGAACGCTGACATCCGGCCCCTCTCCCTTCACTTCTGCGACATCACCTATCCCATAGGGAAAACACAACAAGATTAGTCTCATCAGCCCCTCCCTGGCTGTGCACCCCCCTCCCACTAGGGACCCATCAACTTGCTCGAAGCGAATTGGTTGTTTGAGCTGTTTAGCTCGGATTCCCAATTTTAGAACTGTGGGTAGGTTGATTAGGCACCGTGTGCTACCCGAGTCTATTAGGGCTTGGAAAGTCTCTTGGGCCCCTGTTTTGGGGGCTGTTAGGCATATGGGGAAAAGAAAAGGATGGACGGGTCCACTCACCATCGGGTCATCCTCGCCTTCGTCTTCCGTGTCATAGGGTTCGGGGAACTGATCTCCCTCATCTGGGATTCCTCTGGTTTCGGTCAGATGAGCGAAAAACTCAGGGATTTGGGGAGCTTCCTGCGGTACGTGGGTGACGCGCTTGGGCCCTCGTTCCGGTTGTGCTTTGGGCGGTGGAGCTGGTCCCGGTCTAGGCGTTCCACATCTTGCTGCTATGTGGCCGCTTCCCCCACATCTGTAGCATTTCAGTGGGCTCCGTGGGGCAGTTGGTCTGTAGGAGGGCTGTGATGTTGGGGTTTCTCGTCTGTTGAGTGGCCCCTGGTCTGGTCGGCCTCTCTCCTTTCCCTCTGGTGGTTTTGACGTGTCACTAGCCCGCAGCCCTCTGTTGACTTTTATCGCTACCCGGAACCATTCAGCGAGTCGGTTTGGGATGTCACGATAGGCAGTCACTTGGGAAATTCTTTTATCTAGGCTTGTTCTAAAAAAATACACCAGCAATCGCTCTGGTAGGGGAGGCAGTGGCCCAATGACTCTCCTGAATTCACGGATATGCTCTCTGATAGGCTTCCCCCTCTGCATTAGGTTTCTGAGCTCGTCTTCCACATAGGGGTCCTCCTCCTCCTCCTCATAACGGGCTCTCAATAGTTGCAAGAACCCATCCGCATTTTGTAGCCGGGGGGCCCTGTATTTGTAGAGTGATGCTGACCACCTCTTTGCTTCTCCCTCCAGCCCTTCCGAGATAGCATTCACTAGGGCTCTGGGGAAAGGGTAGAGGTGTCCGAACCACTCTATGTATATCTCAGCTGAATCGAGGAATTGGGCGAGGTTGTCTGGGTCACCATCAAACTTCCCTCTGAACTGGGGTGGCTCTCCCTCTCTGCCCTCTCCTCTCTGTGCTGAGCTCTGGAGGGCCAGCCCTGGTGTTGATAGTCCTCTGCCTCATCTCTCATCCTGGGGTGGGGAGTGCTGCCTTGTCTGGGCTTCGCTGCCATTCCCATCCCCAGCTCGCCCTTCCCAATTCACTTAGGGGTTTTTCTTTATCTTTTACCTTTGCAAAAGGGGATTCCGCCTCTAAGGCTTTTGGCACAGTCCCCGGGTACTTATCTGCTTCACGTTTCTTTGCTTGAAGTTCTGCGGGGAGGGAAGGTGGAGAAAGTTGAACCTTTGTATTTTCCAAGTTGGCTGGAATCACGACCGCTTCTGCTCCTCCCGTTTCTTGAAGCAGGCTTTCCTCCGATAGCTTGGCTTCAGCCATAGTCCGTCCGACCAGATGTCTGGGAGGGAACGGGATGATTTAAACTCAGCCAGCCTGGATTTGGAGGAGAGTTTGGCTGTCTGTCAGGTTTCGGTGCTATCTTGAATAAACTTCATTCTCAAACGCAAACTCTAATGAATCACTTTTATTTTAAGAATAGCCGAGTCTGACATTCCTGATTTCATTTTGCAGCCAAACTGGCCCCTCCTTCCAACCCCCTCCTCTTCCGCTCTCCAACCCCAATGTCCGATTGGCCATCATGCAGATCCATCTCTATCTCCCGGCACGTTCTTTTCACAGGAATGTAGCCCCCATCCTCGTCTCCCAGGAAACATTATCTGTGCATACAAAACTAGGTAAAAGTTCATCTTGTTATGTCAGCGCTGGAAGAGAGCCTAATTTGGAATGCTGACACCACGTTGATCTCATTTGCTCAATTCTTAACAACATTATCTCAGATCCTATCTGCTCAAGCTCATTCTCTCCTCGCGTTCTAATGGGTGCCTGGTGGCCTACCAGTTCTTCAGCGTAAGATCTGCCTTTTCAGCTTTTGCTTTGGGTCCTGTGTTTTGAGTCCACAGCCTCCACCTTCCAGTTCAGCTCCCCTCATTCATTCCAGCCACCCCTCTTCACCCGTCTATCTGTGGTTTCATCACCATCCACAACCACCCGCAGTCTTCAAATAATATGAAAATTCTGAATGCATCCAATGAATACGAGCTTCCAAATACACATCCCATAATGTCATGGATCATAATGAAATGAGTGGCATAACTGGATAAACAAAAAACAAAAAAACAAAAAAATCAACCTGTACATAAATAAACAGGAAAAATACCTTTTCTATTTGTAGTAGATAGAAATCGATGAAATCCTGTGGCTCATGCAGAGATTGATATTGCTTGTGCCTTTCTATTTCCTGCCTTCCAAATGAAAGGATAAACTCGGCAGAGTCCAAGGCCTTCTGGTGAGGCCCTGGAAGCTGTTTCATCAACCACGGGGCCATCTCAAACAACTAAAACAAAAACAAGCAAAATTTGATCACTTTCTAAATAAGCTTCGTTGACATAGTGGCAGAGTAAACACGACATGATGATCATAAGCTGATTATACTAAAGTTATCTCCTTGACTAAACATGAGTGATCATAAGTGCAGAGAGGGGACTGGGAGAGAGAGATCTTGCTGTTGTGGTTGCTGTTGTTTTCATTGTCCTTTAAATTATAGGCTACCTTGAGTCACCGATCAGTTGGATGTTCTTTAAATCAGTGGTCACCAACTGGTGGTCCACGGACCACTGGTGGTCCGCGAGAAAATTTTGGTGGTCCGCAGAAGAATTACTTGCATTTTTTATATTGCACTAAATCAGGGGTTCTCAAACTACGGCCCCTGGGCTGGATACGTGCAATGAATGGTTGTGTTGCTGCAGAGAATCTCCCCCTTCAGGGCCTTTTTGTGTGGGTCAGAGGGGGGCAGAAATTCTGACTCAGGGTCTGCTTCAGCCTCCTGGTCAGGCCTTTGGGCAAAGGCTGGAGGGAAGTGCCGCTGGTGGCAAAGAGCCAGAGGACTTTGTTCCAGTGGGACTGCATCATGGCCCGGAACTAGCTGACCATCTCAGCCTGCTAAACCTCCAGGCGCCGGTACCTGGCCTTGCACTCCCACAGGTCTTCCCTCTGCTTGGAAAGCCTATGCTCATAGTCCTCAGTGAGGTGCTTCTACTGAGCCTCCTTCTTGGTCAGATCCAATTTGAACGGAGCTGTTTTGCCAACTCTTTCTCGAGGTGGCTGCTTACCTTCAACACTTGCTTCCTTTTGGGGCCCTAAGGAGCCCAGGTGGGGAGGCGAGTAGTGGTTGGGAGGGGAGGGCCGAGTAGAGGCTGCCAAGGCGCCCCTTGATGTGAGTGACATCAAGTTGCCAACCCCACCCAGTCAGATGACCACCTAGCCACACCCACCCAGCCATCATTGGGCAGATCATATTAGTGGTCCGTGGGATTTAAAATTATGAATTTAGTGGTCCCTGAGATCCGAAATGTGACCCCTGCTTTAAATCAAATTAATAAACTGACAGATATTATGAAGTCATTCAAAGGCCCTCCAGGTTATGGTGCCACCTACACTTTGAAAAGGCAACATTGGCTCGCCTCTCTCCCAAATTATGCCTGCGCATGTGTTCATGCTTTGTTTGCATGCGCACACGCTTTTCTGTGCATGCTCAGAAGCTTCTGCGCATGCGCAGATCAACTTTGATGACTTCCAGGTCAGTGGTGGAGCCTCCCACCGGTTTTACTACCGGTTCTTGCGAACTGGTCCAAACGGTGGGCAACCCACCAATGATGTGGGCTCGTCACTTCTCGTCTGGACTATTGTAACACTCTCTACATGGGGCTCCCCTTGGGGTACACCCAGAGGCTCCAACTGGTCAGAATGCAGCCGCGCGGGGGATTATGGGAGCGACGGGGCGCTCCCATGTGACTCCTCTCCTGCGCAAGCTGCATTGGCTTCCGGTGGACTTCCGCATGCGCTTCAAGGTGTTGGTGATCACCTTTAAAGCGCTCCATTGCTTAGGGCCGGGGTACTTACGGGACCGCCTTCTGCCACCAATTGCCTCCCACCGGCCAGTTCGCTCCCACAGAGAGGGCCTACTCAGGGTGCCGTCGGCCAGACAATGTCGGCTGGCAACCCCCGGGGGGAGAGCCTTCTCTGTGGTGGCACCTACCCTCTGGAACAATCTACCCCCAGAGATACGAGTGATCTCCAACCTCTGGACTTTTTGTCGGGCCCTAAAAAACTATTTTTTTCAGTTAGCCGGGCTGTCCTGATTTTACGGTTGGTTTTAAAATTTGATAATGGATTTTAATTGAAAAGTTTTAAATTACAGGCCAAATTTATTTAATTATTTTAAATCTATTTTTAACTTTTGTGTATAAATGTTTTTATCTTGGCTGTTCACCGCCCTCAGTCCGAAAGGAGAAAGGCGGTATAGAAATCTGAAAAATAAATAAATAAATAAATAAATAAATAAATAAATAAATAAATAAATGTCCCACCTCTAACACAGTCCCAGTAGAGGTCATCAATAAGCATGACCATCTCCATTCTGTGTCCAGGTGTAAAGTCTGGCTAAAAGGAACCCAGATAATGTATTTCATCCCCAGGTGGGATGTTTCATCCCCAGAGCTGCAGCACAATCAGCTTTTCAACAAAGTTCCAGAGGAAAAGAAGGTTGGAGACATGATGGAAATCATCAGACTATCAGATCTATGACTTCTTGAAGAGGGAATGAGCCACTGCTTCCTTAAGTAACAGGGGGCCAATCACTTTCTGAAAGAGTTATTTCTATAAGGCAGCCAAAGGATTTCAAAATGATGATGGGAAGATCTAGCTGCTTTAGTATAAAGGATCACTCACCATATGAAAAACACCACCTGCCACTTTTTCAATGTTGTTTATGTTTTGGACCAACTTCTGTAAGTTTTTATCTTCAAGAGCAAACTGGTGCCCAAAGCTCAAAGTACATATGACATTAGCAACTGATTTGACAAATGGCAGTGAAGGATCAAAAGGCTGCCCTGAAAAATGAAAGATATTAAGAACAATTAGATTTCTTGACTTCCGGTTGGTGATCCACGACGACATGGCGTTGAGTGAGTGACTGCTGCTCCTCAATACCATCAGTCACTGTGTTTTGGGGACCCCTCGGGGGTGTGGAGCCCGGAGAGCCCCACGGACGAGAGAGCGAGCCGGGTGAGCATGAAAGCGGAGCGCAAAACGCCGATCGCAAGACTGGGCAGCTCTGTCAACCCAGCACGCGTGAGTCGGCCGAATTAATGGCCGACGTGAAGCTGCAGTAGCCAGCAACCAGATTGGAAGCAAGGGAGATCGGATGCTGCAGTGCTGATAGATATACACCTTCCCTGCATTGAGGAAAGAGGACATCAGGAAGAGGGGTCGGTGAAGTCAGGTGGAAGAGTCCCACAGAGGAGAAAAGCGGCGATTGAAAGTTCCGGGGCAGTTTGACAGAGAGAGAGCCCGACAAGCCAGCATTGAAATAAGAAAGTAAAATCTGTATTGACAGTGTGCGTGCAAAGAGAGGATTGGTGAGAAAATTTAAGATCAGCATTTCTTTCCTTTTTACTGTGAATAAAAGTAGATCCAGCGGAGGCTGAAACTGGGTGGATCGAGCTTGGCTTTTTTTTCAACGAACAGGAAGCTCAGCCATTAGAGTGACTTTACTGATTTGACTGAGGAATAAACTGCATAGCTGTGGACAGTCTAGCAGCAAGAAATACGATAGAGCGCTGAACTTTGATGAATGGCCCTACGCTCACAGAAGAATAGAGACTGAGCAAAAAAGACCAGTGCATTTCCCAAGAAGGAGGAAAATTATAACAATAACCAAGAACAGCGCTTGAACTTCCAGATATTTTTTTCTCAGTATCCTGATTGTCAAAACTATTATCACCAGCAAGAATTGTAAATAATTTTTTCTTTTTTTTTTCTCTTCTTTCGTGGTCTAGATATATATAATATATTTTCAAGCTATGATATTTTAAATCCTTTTATATCCATTCTGCTGTCTAGTTTTTATAGTATTTAAAATTAATTCTGTCTATAATCAAGTACTTAAAATTCCTATTTACAGTATTTATAGTATTTTAAGCATTTAAAAGCACAACACTTAGTTAAATTAATTGATATATTGATTGTGAGTTGTTGATTAACTGATTTATTGATTGTCTAGTATTGTATTGTCTAATTTATAACTGCTAAGCCAACTTAATACATATTAACGATATATCGAGTATAAGGTATTGTTGGGAAGAGATTTAGATCCCTTTATAGATATTGATATTGATTGTTCATTGGAAAATTAGCTCTATTTAAAGATTCTGAAGAAATAATTAGGCATAGAAATATATATATATAGGGGAAAAAAAACTAAGGAGGCGTTAACTGGCGAATGAGAATTTGGAGTAATATCGAAAGGATAGTTAGAGAGCAAAAAAAAAATCCTGAAAGAAATGACAAGCATGTCATCAACAGTAGCGAAAACAGGAAAAAAGACTCCCTCTAATCCTACTATAGCAACAACCTCTCCGGCAACACAGAAATCAACAGAAGGCCTGGCAATGCAAACTCTACAAGCATCGTTAACCTTGATTCAAGAAACGATGATGGCAATGCAAGAAAAATTGTTAAATAACCATGTCGAATTAAAATCAGATATACATGCATTGGACCAGAAAATGAATGAAATTCAAACATCAATATTTAATAATGAGCAATGAATTCAAAAAGCCGAAACAAGAATCGACCAAACCGAAAAGAAACTGGATATTGTGGACCAAACATTAACAAGTCAAAATAAAGAGTTAGAAGATTCATTAACTCAATTAGAGATGGACTGGGCTTCCTTCTACTTGCGATTTCAGAATGTTGTTGAGGATAAAGAGGAAGACCTAGGCGAGAAGATGGCAGAGTTGATAGTAGATGCACTTCAACAAGATAAACAGGTGATAATTAGAGAGTTGGACGACATATACAGGGTCCAGACTAACTATGCAAGAAGGAATAAGCTCCCCAGGGAAGTACACATCCACTTTGCAAGGAAAAAAGTTAAAGACATTCTATACAACATGGCAAGAGACGAACATATAACATATTGAGGAAAAGAAATAATAATTCTAAAACAGATACCAAGAAGAGTTCGGGAGATGAGAAAGGGATATAGATTCTCGGCCATACAGTTGAACAAAAGAAAGATACTATTCAGGTGGCTTCTCCCAGAAGGGATGCTAATAACCTGGCAAGGAAGAAAAATTAAAATAGAAAGTCTGGGTACAGCACAGGATTTCCTTGACCAGTTGAGGGGTGTGGAAGAAGAGCAGGGTAGCAAGGAAGAACTAGAGACAGTAGCAGTAGAGGAGGAAGCCCTACACCAACAGAACACGAACGAAGCAATTGTAGAGGAGAAGACAGAAGAAGAAGAAGAAGAAGCCAAAGGGAAAAAAGCAAGACCAGTAAGGGCCGTAAGAACAAACAAGAATTAACAACCAGACAGGGTTACAGAGATGAATGACTTGAAATTAATATCTGTAAATGTTAATGGTCTAAATGACTACAAAAAGAGGAAAAGAATATTAACAAAACTAGGTAAACAAAATGTTGATATAATGTGTCTACAAGAGGTGCACATAAAAAAAGAAGAGGGTAAATGTCTAGAATATAATAAATTTGGTCAAACATTTGTTTCGCTGGCAGAGAAAAAGAAGAGGGGGGTGGTAATCTATGTAAAAAAAGGAATTGAAGCAGAGCAAAAGTTTAAAGATACAAAGGGTAGAATTCTCATGATTGAAATTAAGAGAGGGAATTTCAAGGTATTATTAGTGGGCATATATGCCCCAAATAAAAAACAGGGAGAATTTTTCAAGAAACTTCATGAACAATTAGTAAAAATGGCATATAATGAAATTTGTATAATAGGGGATTTTAATGACATTGTGGATTCGGAGAAGGACCACAAGAGCAATAAAGTAAAAAAAAAATAAAAGGACAAATTTACCGAGAGCTTTTTTCGATTTAGTTGATGATTTAGACCTAATTGATATCTGGTGTACCCTGCACCCAAACGATAGGCAATATACCTTCTTTTCAAATGCACAAAAGTCGTGGTCTAGAATCGACATGGCATGGGTTAGCAGGAATTTGGGGCTAGAAATTGGAACGGCTGTAATCAACCCGAACGATTGGGCAGACCATAACCCAATAGAAATTAGATGGAAGTCTGTACAGAGAAAGTACCAACAGAGGTGGAGGTTTAATGTTAAACTACTGGGCGATAGAGACTGTATACAAAAACTCAAAGAAGAAGTAAATTTCTTTTTCAAGGAAAATGAAAACAGGGGCACATCCCGCACAATAGTATGGGATACAATGAAGGCTTACCTGAGAGGAGTTGTGATTTCATATTCCGTACATAAAAACAAAGAAGAAAGGAAGACCCTGGAAGATTATTTAAATCATATAGGAGAATCAGAAAGAAAACTTCAAGATAATCCAGAAGATGAAGCAGCCAAAGTAAATTGGATAATGTGGAAGCACAAAGTAAATATCATGGAGCAAGAAGAGCTGGCACAAAGAATGAAAAGAATGAAACAATATCTTTTTGAGAATACCAATAAATCGGGCAGGTGGCTGGCCTATAAATTAAAAAAGGAAAATGAAAAGGGAATAATTCACATCTTAGAAGACTCTAAGGGTAAGCTATTGACTAAAGAGGAAGAAAAATTGGATAGAGCGAGAGAATACTACGAATCCCTATATAAAGAAGAGGAGGTACCGGACGACAAAATAGAACAATATTTGACAAAGGCAGAGCTCCCACAAATAACAGATGAAGAGAAAGAAATGCTTAATAGAAAGATCACAATCGAAGAATTAAAAATAGCCCTTTCTAAATTGAAAAACAATAAAGCGCCAGGACCCGATGGATTCCCAGGGGAAATATACAAAAAATTAGAAGAAATACTTCAACCGAAATTGGTAGATGTCTTTAATGATGCATTGACAGACCATAAAATTCCAGAGTCATGGAAGGAGACACATGTCACACTTGTGTCGAAAGAAGGTGCCGATCTAAAACAAATCCAAAATTACAGACCAATTTCGCTCCTAAATACTGACTATAAATTATTCATGGGCACAATGGCAGAAAGAATGAAAAAGATACTAAATAATTGGATATATAAAGATCAGAACGGATTCCTTCCGGGGAGGCAAATTAAAGACAATTTGAGAATTGTGCTAGACACTCTAGAGTACTATGAAGAACATCCCGGAAAACAGATGGCCCTAATATTTGTTGATGCCCAAAAGGCATTCGACAATCTAAATTGGAAATTTATGACTAAACAAATTGAGATTATGAAATTCGGAACAAATTTTGAGATGATGATTAAATCTATCTATGATAATCAAAAGGCGAGTATTCTGGTGAATGGAGATAGGACTAAAACATTCCAAATTAGTAAGGGAGTAAGGCAAGGTTGCCCCCTATCCCCATTATTGTTTATTTTGGCCTTAGAAGTTCTTTTGCGGAAAATTAGAACTAATGAGGAAATAAAAGGACTGAAGATCAGGAAGGAGATTTACAAGACGCAAGCATTTGCGGACGATGTAGCTCTAATCCTCGAAGACCCCATAGAATCGGGACCAAAAGTACTAGAGGAATTAAGTAAATATGGAGAGGTGGCAGGCTTCATATTGAATAAAACTAAAACCAAAGTATTGATTAAGAATACAACTGAGAGCCAGGAAAACGAGATAGAAGAAGCATTAGGACTACAGGTTGCCAAAAAAATTAAATACCTAGGAATTTGGATTACACCTAGATGTTCAACCTTGAAAGACGACAATTATACTCCCCTAATTAGAAAGATGAAACAAGACCTTGACAGATGGAAGAAAATAAGACTATCACTTTTGGGCAAGATAGCCACAATTAAGATGAATATTCTCCCCAGAATACTATTCTTATTCCAAAACATACCGGTAAATTTAGCTAAAAAGTTTTTTTTAGAACTAGACAAAATCATCAGAGAATTTATATGGGAGGGGAAAAAACCGAGGTTTTCCAT